AAAAGCAAGTGCAAGGATGTGGTACTGATAAAGCAGGAGGAGGCATTGGAGAATCCCCAGGGTCTGGCCTGGCTGAGGCACAAGAGGAAGAGAGGCAGGCTGGTGCCCAGCTTCCCAGGGCTAGCATACCTTTGGTTGTCTACTTATTTATTATTGTTTCAGTTAGCACTACAATGAAGAATAAGCAGGGAGTGAGAGAGTAACCAAGGAGAACACGCTTGTAAGTATAATTTCAAAAGATCATCTTGGCAACCATGAGCAGAATGGATTAAAAAGTGAAAGCCTAGAGATGAGACAAACAGTGAGAAGTCTGTCTTAATGCAGATTAACAACAGGGAAAGCAACATCAGGTGGCAAGCAGGAGGGGAGAAAACACGTCTCCTGGCTTTTTGTGAAAATATTCCGCAGGTAGAACCAACAAGACTTTAATGAGGGTCACATGGGAGGTAAATGAGTGGTTTCCAACTCTAGCTGCACATCAGAGGCACCTGGGGAGATTTTCTAAAGGCAGATTCTCTGGCCCTGTGAGTCTGAATGTTCATTGTTTACACCTTGTGACTTTGAAGATCTCCAGCCAGTCTCTGGGACTAAATATGGGTCCAGTCCAGGAGAAAGAGGAAACTTTCTATTGATTCAAGCCCAGATCGAGTCCCATGGAAGGAAAGACTGTGAAGTAGTTATCTAGTCACTTTCTCATTGCACTTGGTCACCTAACACCCACAATTTCAAGGAGAACTTTATTTTGGCTCACGGTTTCAGACCATGGCTGAAACCAAGGTAGGAACAGGATGGTAGAGGGACGGACATATCAGAGGAAAAGATGCTCAACCCACAGGAGCCTTGAAGCAGTGGGAGAAGGCAGGAGCGGAGGAGGGTAAGAAATCCTTCCAAGTCAACCCCCCAATGACAGGCCTCTCCAGGGACCCCCGCCTCCCCAGTACATACACCTTGGAACTCATCAGTCCATTAACCCACCAACAAGCACAGCACCCCCAATATCCAATCACCTTCCAAAAGTCCCATCTCCAAACACATGAGGCTGTGGGGGACACTCTAGACCTAAACTATGACAGCAGTGAGACAGTTCAAAAGTTGTGTTGGAATCTTCTCACTGAATGTAATCAAGCACAGCTGGCAGATGAGGCAAAGGGAGGCGATAGAAGAGCTTTTCACTTGCTGGAGGAAAGAGAGAGCCTTTAAGCATTCCAGAGACAGACAGCTCTTCCTGTGCAGTGAGCAGGAACCAAAGCCAGCCAGGCCAGCAGCCAGGCTCCCAAAGGAAAGCAAGCTGCCAGCCCAGCTCTCTCTGTGCACCCCTTTTGCTCCAGCTGTGGCTCTGGATAATGTCTCACTCTGCCCTGGTTTGGATTTCAGGTTCTGGCCTCAAAGCTGTCTCTGTTTCCATGACAACACAGTCCTGTTTGAGCCATGCTTGCTCTGTAGCTGCTGCATCTGGATTTAAGCACCCTGTGGTTCCAACCCATCACCATCCCCGAGGCTGTCTCCATCTGGCCCACTCCACATCTGGTTTCCGGCTCCACCTGAGCCTTTCTAGTTTCCAGCCTGCTCCGGTCCATATTCAGACCCTGCTCCTGCCTCAGGCCCAGATCTCCCTCTCCTGGTTTATTCCATCCTTGATGCGCTGGAGCAGTTTTCTACATGAGATCATGAGATTATTACAGTAGCTTCCCATGGAGTCTGGTGAGCAGGAAACTATAGCCATTTTTAAAAGCACAAGCTTTGAATTCAGGTTTCAATCAAATCCAGATTGTGTGACAGTAAGCCAGTGACCTTGTCTCTCCAAGCTTCAGTTTGCAATCCCACATGATAAAAACACCTAGCCTAAATTGTAAGGTATAATCACCCTAGCCAGTTTCACCAGTTCAGGATAAATTCACGACCAAGGCTCTTTTTGATTATCATTAATAGCTCAAGCAAACATCCAGATACTTTGTTAACAGAATGTTCAACATTTTCCTCTTAAAGTGTAACCCATCCTTAATGTCAAATAGTCCAGGATTTCTGATGATTTATTCAAGCCAAAAAGATCAAATCTAGGTACAACCGCGAATGACCTGGGGCTGCAGGTCAGTCCACAGACCCCATTTCTGTCACATGGTGTGACACAAAGACTATTCCTGTCACTGGTGGGAGCTCACTTTTGCTGGCTCCTGTGCTCTGAATGGAAGGGGGCCTCACTCTTGGGCTCATAGGCTCCAGCCAGTTGTTCAGCCACAGCCATTTCTTCCCCAGGCTCTTACACTGGGTTCCAGGCCCTAATCCAGCTATCGCTTCCCCTACACACACCCGAGAGCTACCTTTCACAGCCTTGGAGCTTGTTCTAGCTCCTTAGGATTTCCATAACAAATTTCCACAAATTGGTGGCTAAAAATAGCAGATATTTATTGTCTTGCAATTCAGAAACACAGAAGACTTGAAGTCATAGGCACAGGTAAGGACTCTCCAAACAGAACTCAAATTGCACAAAAAATAACATCAAGAACCAACAAGTGGGATTATGCCAAATTAAAAAGCTTCTGCACAGCAAATGAAACAACCAGTAGAGTGAAGAGACAGCCTATAGAATGGGGAAAAAAGTTTGGCAGCTATTCCTTGTTCAGAGAACTAATATCTAGACTATATAAAGAACTCAAAAAAATTACACCCCCCAAAACAAGACACAATTAAAACATGGGCAATTGAAATGAATAGACATGTCTCAGAAGTTCAAGTGGCCAATAAATAGATGAAAAAATGTTCAACATCTCTGGTCATCAGAGAAGTGCAAATTAAAACAATACTGAGATTCCATCTTTTTCCAAAAAGAAATGGCTATTATCAAGGACTCAAATAATAACAAATGCTAGAAAGACTGTGGGGAAAAAATAACCCTTCTACATTCTTGGTGGCAATGTAAACTGGTACAATCATTATGGAAATCAGTATGGAGATTCCTCAAAAAACTAAAATTAGAGGCGAGGATTTAGCTCAGTGGTTTCACCGCCTGCTGCGCAAGCGCAAGGACCCGAGTTCGATCCCCAGTACCAAAAAAAAAAAAAAAACCTAAAATTAGTAATTCCACTATGCCCATTTATTCCCTTTCTAGATATCTTCCTGAAAGAGTAAAAATACATCATATTACAGTGATACATGCATACCTATGTTTATTGCAGCACAAGTCACAATAGCTAAATCTTGGAAGCGGACTATATGTTCATCAACAGATGACTGGACAAGGAAAATGTGGTATTTATGCACAACGAAGTACTAGGCTGCCTTAAAGAGTGATAAATTGGAGTCATTTGTATGAAAATGGATGCACCTTGAGACCATAATGTCAAATGAAATAAATCAGACACACAAGCTTCTCTTATACAAGAAACCCAAAGTGTAAATAATTTAAAGAGCAAAACAAAAGATAGGAAATAAGGAACAGGAAGATAGATCTTTTGCAAATGGGAAGGGGATCTAGGGACAGAGGAGGAGGGGAGAGAGAGGAGGGGAAGAGAAAGTAAGAACTTTCAAGATGTGTTTTGTATATGTACCAACTTCACACAATAACTGCAATCAATATGTACCGCTAACATGTACTAGTAAAAATTTTCTAAATACTTAAAAGATTCAGAGCCAAAAAATAAAATCAGTGTTGTTCCTTCTGTAGGATGTGAGGGAGAAGCTCTTGTGCCTCCCAGCGTTGGAGGCTCCCAGCAATCTTTGGCATTCCTTGAGGTGTGGCTGCCTTACTGATCTTCATCTCCCTGTCTTTTCTTCCTTCTTTATTGATTCATCACATTTTTTCTTTCTTTTCTTTCCCCCTCCCCTCCTCCTCCTCCTCCTCCTCTAATACAACTCTGAATTTAGGGATTGCCCATGAGACAAGTATAACTGCATCTTAATTTACTACATTTACAAAGATCCTATTCCCAAAGAGGGTCATATTCTGAGATTCTGGATGGATATGAAATCTGAGGAACACTATTCAACTCATTACAAGCCTGCTTCTGAATAACACAGCATAGAAACCTTTTCCTTCACTTCAGTTCACCAGAAGAGGAATTTTCATACCCCTTGGTCCAAGAAACCAATTAGGCTCCCTAGGCACGCTTTTCTTTTACCCCCTCTCTCTCAGACCAAAGGATGACAGACAGTTTCTTGTAATCCCACACACTTCAATTAATAAGAAAAATCTGCCCAAAGAGTCCTACTAGCTCTACTCCTAGAACTCCAAACCCGCATAATTTTAATTTCATCTCATTATAAAGTAACTGCAATAGACAGCCCTCAGTTGCAGTAATTATTTATTATCTCAAAGGTAACCAAAAGTGTCCCCAGGATACAATGCATCAGAATAAACCTTGTGTTCCTAGAAACAATACCTATGCTTAATCCAGACTCTAGTACAATTTAAGTGAAGCTTTCAGTGCAGTTTGGCAAGTTCTGTATCCCTCATGTGACCCCTAAGTATATTTTTACATTATTGACTCATGGATCAGAGTAATAATTACACCATCAGAGTTTCTGATAATCAGAACCTTTCAGGGTCTCTCACTAGTGATAGCCTAGATAGACAGAACATGTTCAGAGCGAGACAAAAGTGAGGTATTGGGAGTCACTGAGGGGATTTCCTTCTGATGATCCTATCTTCACATTTAAGGTTTCACAGACCCATAGACCACTTAAAGCAACAACATCTTGGAGATCTTCTGCTGTTACAAAATAGTTGGCTCTTGGTTATTTTCATCTTAAATATTTCACAAAGAATTTTAGAACTGAAAGAAATCATCTAAAAGAATTATCCATTTAATGAACGGTAAAATGAAGGTTCTGAGACCTTAGTGGTTTGCTCAAGGCCATGCAATTAGTAGGCTAGATGGTCTTAAGAAAAAGTCTTCCTAAATCCCTACCCAATGGTCTTTCTACCCACCAAGCTGTGCAACACAGATAAGACATAATCATTTCCCAGGTTTCTATAGCCAATAGATACACAAAATCATTGTCACCTCCAGTTCCATTATGTACTCTCCTTCCATTCTTTTCTTCTTTCCTTTTTCTCACAACAAGCCCTTCACCAGTTTTCTTTCCATTGCTTTTCCTTTGCCCTGGGAAAGGAATTAACATTGGTTGAGCACTCATTATTTACTAAACACCATGAAATATATAAATGATCTGCACCAAATCATGAGGCCAAGGGTGGTGATGCACATCTGTAATCCCATCCAGAGCAGGAGGATCTTAAATTCAAGCTGAGCCTGGCTAACTTAGTGAGACCCTATCTCAAAATGAAAAAATAAAAAAGGGATGGGGATATAACTCAGTGAGGGCCCTGGGTTCAATTTCAAGTACCACCAAAAAACATATGAGTTATTAAGCAATTTTGGATATTAAGAAACTGAGACCTAAAGAAATTATGTGTCCAAGGCAGCACAACTACCAGGAAAGAGCATAAGCATCCAGGCCTCCACCTGACACCAGAGCCCGTTCCCTCCCCAAGACACCACGAGGTATCCTGTTGGGGGTTCTAGAACCGCCATCGCTCTGCACCCAAGCACCTTTCCCATCTGTGGAGGGAGTCAATTTGTAATTGACGTGATGTCTTAGAATCCATTCTTACTAGAGAAGAAAACAACACTGCTAGCTTTTGTTCAAAGGAACTGCTTAAGTGAGAAGATAAAAAGATTGTTCCTAACACACTCATTTAAGTAGAGGGCCACTCGTGTTCTCAAAGCACTGCTGGAAACTGGGAGAAACAAGCAAGTACTACCTTAGCATCCACATTATGAGACTGAGGGGCCCGAAACAAAGAACATTACAGTCACAGTGTGAGAAGAGATAGTGAGGAAATAAGGTTGGTGACCACCTTTCAAGTCTGAAAAGAGGAAGGAGCTGAATTCATGAGGAAGTGTTACATTGCTCAGCGTTCACTCGTATAACTTAATTGCAGTACATGGAGTAACTGTTTTATACTTTTTGCTCTTCTGTCTTCTGTAAGCTTCTCAAAGGAAAAAACTGTGCCTTAGTCATCTTTGTATTTTCCTTAGTCCAGAGCCAATATCTTACACACAGCAGGTGTTCAGTAAATGCTTCTCTGAATAAGCACCTGCGTTTTCGAGTGACAGATTTATTTATTTTAAAGAGGCCACTCTTAAATTTATATCTCATGTTGCGTGCATTTTGGGGCTATACTTTTGAAGGTAGGGATGAAAATAAGATTTTTACAAGAGACTCAGAGGCATAATGGAAGGATTTTATAAATAGTGATTATAATAGTGAAAATGTGTCAGAGGATATTGGCTCCTGGGTCTTTCTTCTAACTAAATGACTTTGACTTCTTTTACAAGGGAGAAACTTGGATCCTTAGCTACTTTTTTTTTTCTTTTTCTTTTTTTTTTTTTTTTGGTACCGGGGATCGAACTCTGGTCCTTGCGCCTGCACAGCAGGCAGTGAAACCACTGAGCTAAATCCCCAGAAATTTTTCTTTTTCTTTTTTTCCTTTTTCTCAAATATCTTTAATATACAATACACTTTTGAAGTACAATCCTGTTCTTTCTGCATTTGGATAACTTACATGTTAGATAAAACAAAAGGGCTCTCGGGGTGTTATGATGCTATTGTATGTATCTGCATATTTTAAGAAGATTTTCAACACAACAGATATCCACAGCTGTTGTCAGAAGCACTTAATGTGTGATGTATACTTTTTCCTGATCTTTTAGAATTCTGCTTTCTTATACTGATGTCATATCTACAATAATCCTTCCATATTTGACAGCTTAGGGAGAAAAATAGGATCAAAATTGTTTATGGTTTGTTTTTTAGGAAACAAATTTTTCTAAAGAAATAGAGGTGAATTTCAAAACACAAAGAGTTTATAATACCATCATTTTAAATAGCAAGAGTTCGCCCTAAATTGTTACTGAGATCTTTAGAAATAAGGATCTGTGATTCAGTTGTTGTTCAACATTTTTATCTTTTCCTGTAATTTTTATTGTCAGTTCAGGTAAAAGTGGACTGATGGTTTTCAAGCTCTGCATTCCCACCATCAGGTGTTCTAGGCACTCTGTACTCTATCTTACTTTGTTGAGCCCACTGTGTCAAAAACAAGACTCTTTTGTGGACATAATAAAACACAATAAAACAGTGCAGCAAGATTAGTGAGTTGGGCTGAAAAAAGCACGATTCTGACAGGTCTTTCTGGCCCCTTTGTTGTTAGGAATCAAAACCAGTTTCCTTCGATTAGTAGGCTACCCTGGATGAGATGGTGTTCAAGCATTCCCTACATGTAAGAGGCCTGATTCGTAATGGTAAACTGAAGACTTGGTCCTTTGAAATGACAGAGTTTGCCACCCCCTCCTTTGAGGGTAATAGATCACAGCAACTGATTGTGATGACTCAGTTGGGTTCCCAATGCCATTTTTTCTCCCACCGGCTAGAATCATGGCACCCAACTTTGTTTTGTCTATTAGTCTAAATTGGACAGCAGGAAGGCTTTGTCGTCTTTATGTTCAGACATTAAACTGCATTGGGAGCCAGTATACTTCAAAAGCTATGGAATGAAACATACACATTCCTATAGTTAGCATGCTATAAAAGCAATCTTAATATTTAGGCTCAGCACGTGAAATATATCAGGTTGGGCTCTTTGTACTCTCTGAGTATCAAAGAAGAAAAGAGGAAGATGCCAGTGTGCCTGTGATCAACTAATTATCCTCAGCATGACAAACAATGCCACAAAGTACAGTTGTAGTCCTGCCTGCTTGGGGTTGGGGGTGGAAGAAGAAAGCCAAGGAGTTCTGGAAATTGATTGTCCTTGCAACCTCCATTCTCCATCTGAACACCTTTCCAACGCCCCACAACCCACAAGCACTTAGGGGGTTACAAGTCCATCTTATACTGGGAATCATTGGTGACGCATCTGTAGACCCTAGACTCAGCTAATTCTTGGTTCAAGAGCTAGACAGTAGGGCAGAAAATTTAAAAATATGTGTTATGTGTATTATGATTGTGTTTTCTGAAACAATATTGAGATACACAGGTCTAAGACCTGGTCTAGCTCCACATGGTTCAACAAGAATAGAGTTACAGTATTTTCATCAGTTCTAAGACACACGTGGCATGATGGTTAATTTTATGTGTTGACTTTACTGGGCTAAGCGATGCCCAGATAGGTGGTAGAGTATCGTTTCTGGATGTGTCTGTGAGGTGTTCATGTATGAAGTGGTAAAGAACACTATTCTCATCAATATGTGCAGGCACCATCCAATCTAATGGGGACCTAAATAGAACAAAGGGGCTGAGGAAGGGGAGTCAGCTTTTCCTGACTGAGTGGGACACTCATCTTGTGCTCTCAAGCGTTAGTGCTGCTGCTTCTTGTTCCCTCACATTGAGACCAGGGGTTATGCCATTGTCCGTGCCTGGACCGGAGCTACACCAATGGCCATCCTGGGAGTCTAGCTTACAGATAGCAGCTTGTGGGACTTCCCAGCCGCTGTAGTAGCATAAGTCTATTGCTCTTAGTAAATCGCTCCCTAAATGTGTATATCTATAAATAGACATATAATTCCTCACTTCTGCCTCTCTAGAGAACATTGACTATCATAATTATTTTAACATCACTGAAATAAGGATATGTCTTATAGTGAATAGTATGTCAATGTACCTGGCTTTGCTTCTTTATTAGTAGTACAAAAAACAATAATGTGTTTTATAATCGATGTCATCCTAGACTTGACAAAATCTCTTTGGCCCCACTCTCATCTCAGAAAATCCAGGAAAACCAATCTGCTTTTCTGTCACATTCTATATATGTTGTCTTCATTCTCAAACTTTGCAGTTTCTCTAATCCCAACGGGACTTCAGAGAGAGGGTAAAATGGTCAGCTTTATGTATCAACTGGGAAAGACTCTAGTCTCCAGTTATTCAACCAAACACTAATCCAGATACTTCTGTAAAAGTGTTTTGTAGATCGGTTGACTTTAAGTAAAGAAGATTCCCTCCGTAATCTGATTGGACCTGATCCAATCAGTTCAAAGGTCTTACGAGCAGAATTCAGATTTCCCCAAGGACAAAGAAATCCCACACCATCTGCCCCTTCCAGAGAGCTTTCAGCCAGCCCTTCCTGACACCCGGCTGTGCCGATCTGGGGCTTTCTTAACCAGCCCTCACAGTTGCATAAACCCATTTCTTTTTTTTTTTTTTTTGGTACCGGGGATCGAACTCGGGTCCTTGCGCTTGCGCAGCAGGTGGCGATAAACCCATTTCTTAACAATAAAATTCTTTACATATTTGGGCCACAGTTCCGTTTTCCTGTTAGAATCCTGACTGATACGTTCGGTGATATTGATTTCTTTTCTCTTCCGATATTTCTTTTTGGCGTGTAATGATTTGAAAAGGTAAATATATTCCTATGCTCCTTATATTTACATAAAGATACACAGTGAGAAGATTTATTCCTACTCCCTTGCCCATCCTCCAGCTCCCAGTCCTCCACCACCTGTTAGAGGTAACCACTATACCTACTTCCTTATGCATAAAGTTTCTTTATACATATGCAAATCAAAACAGATGTACATTCTTTCCTCTCTGATTTACAAAAGAGAAAAACAGGGAGCCTATTATACAATGTTCTGCATGTGTTTTTTCCCCTTGACAATCAATACTTCCAAAGATTTTTTTCAATTTCAGTACACAAGAGCATCTTCATCTGTTTTATCAACTGTATTGTATTCCATTTCATGTTTATGTCATTAATTATTTAGCCAGTCACCTATTGCTGGACATTCAACTTTTTCTAATACTTTTACTGTCACAAAGTGAGCAGCCTTTAAAAACATTAAGATAGATAGATGATAGATGGATAGTTAGATAATTGATAGAACTAGATATAATGATTTGCATATATGCAATCATTGTTTACTTTCAGCAAGGTGTTATGGTCTAAATCAAAATGCCCCTCATTGGGCCGGGGATTTAGCTCAGTGGTTCTGTCACCTGCCTTGCAAGCACAATAACCCGAGTTCAATCCCTGGTACCAAAAAAAAAAATGCCCCTCAAAAGTTTCATGTGTTCTGACGTGGGACTTTTGGAAGATGACCTGCTCATA